AAAATTTAATTGAAATTTTACGAGTATTTTTATTATTTATTTAAATTGATATAAATAAAGTATACATGTTGCTGGATTTTGATTAGTACCGGAGATACTTCTCAAAATCAGATTTTGATTAGTACCAGGAATACTTTTCAAAATCGAATTTTGATTAGTATCGGAGTATTTTTCAAAAACACCTGAATTTAAAGTTGAATAATACCCGATACTACTTAAGGGGAATACTATTGCTGGAGGATACTGTATGCAGCGCTATACGGTAATAAGAATGTTACTAATACATCTAAAAAAGGTAGCCTGAATACAAAGTAACCTTTTTCTATAAATTATTATCAGAAAGAAGAAGGTTTGAAATTATATTATAAAGGGTTAGATGCTATTTCAGATATGGTGAAGAAAAAGATAGAGAAAAAACTTACCAATTATGATCCTAATAACATTGATAATTTGCTTGAAGCGCTATAAGATTATTTAACCAAAAAAAAAGAGAGAAAACTTTTTTAGGAAACAATTTATAATATATATAAAGAAACAGATGCTATCATGATATTGATTAAAGCTCGTGAAATGTTAGGAATAGAAAATTGAGCGTGAAATCTATTTTAATGAGATTCTTTACATGATATTAAAATTCTTATGAGACGCTATCCTACCACATTACTGCCCTCCCTTCCATTATTGAATAATGTTATTTTATATGGAAAGGTTTTTAAAAAAATCAGGTTCTGAGAAATTTTTGACTTAAATTAAGAGCTTAATATATTTTAATCTTATAACATCAAAAATTAAAATGCAATAAAAATCTTAATTTTGTTAAAAATTCCCGGAATCTGATTTTCCTAACAATCAACCATATAACAGTTTACATATTAATAGGTAACAGTATAGCATTATAGCATAAGTAAGTAACAATCTTATAAAATTATTACCTATTAATTGGTCAAATTGACTAAAATTGGCCAAATGGTCAAAGGCTAATACTAGTTTATAATATAGACGTTTTGCAATAAAAAGAAAGAAATTTCTATTGAATTGATATTAAATCTGAATTTATTTTATTAAAAAAAAAATCAAATTTAGCATTCAAAATTCTAGAATTTTCTTTGCAAAGCATTCATTTTTGTAATTAACTGCTATGTGCATTAATAAAGTATAATTATATTAATAAAACTTGTTGATTACTTTGATATTTTAAACATTGTCTTTTAAATATATTTTAAAAAAAAACAAATAGTAATTATTTCATTTTCTAGCAAAAAATAAAATTTTAAAGCTAACAATATTATTGGTCGATAACCTGTTACACGTCTCCAAAAAAAAAAAGCCTTTTTTAAAAAAATGGTGATAAGATCATCTGTTGGTTGTAATATTTGATTATAAAAATGAACGAACCTACATTTAAACTTCCTGAAATAATCGATAATGATAGTGGGTGGGGTCCCTCACCCGCAATGTTACCGGAGAAGTTCCGAGATATACCGTATGCTCCATATAGTAAAGCTGATAAATTAGGAAAAATTGCTGATTGGTCTACTCCGGAACAGAAAGAAAAAGAATCTTCCGGGAGGCAGAGAGCAAATTACAGGAATTACCGTGGTATTGTACATGAATTGATCAAACTTTTACTTAGTATAAACATGTATTAACGTTTCAACTTATTTTCTTTTCATGTAGATCAGTATACAGCGTATGGTTATGGTGTATCCAGTGCCTTTGTTTATACACACGCCGAAGACGAAGCTTCGTTCTCAGTGGTTGATAATCGATCAACTGCTCAAAAGAAAGCCTCATCATATAGAGCTGCTGGTGGTACAAAGGTGCGTAAGGTCCGAATGATTTGATTTATATCTATATAGTTAATCACATTTTATGGTAATCTCTACAGGGTCGAACAGGTGCAAGAGGACAAGCATCTCGGAATCCCAGGAATGGACAATTTCAAAGATATGGTAATCAAAATCGGAATTCACCTGGGGGTAGAACGAATACCACTGCTCTCCGGAGACGATACGGTTGGAAAGATTATGACAAGGTTGCATTAATCAATTAATTCTTTTCAGTCACTATGAATTCAAGAATCTTAATTAACATATTATTATCATTTACAGCCCCAGCGTGCAAGAGATGCTTCGGTTAAAGTGGGACCGGAATGGAAAGTTCTTGAAGAGATTGAGTTCAGTCGGTTATCCAAACTTAATTTGGATGTAGATGATGGTGAAGATTTGTATGTATAATATTATAAATAGTATGAGCTTGTACTAAATAGTTTTAATATTTTAACTTTTGTTTAATTTCGTTAGATCTTCACATGGATTTTTGTATTTTTACGACAAGAATTACGATCTTGTTCGAACAAAAAGTGAAAGATTATTACTTCCTAACGAGAAAGTTCGATTCTTTATAACTACTTCCAAGGATCCTATTATTGAACAAGTAAATAACATAAGAATTAATTTTATTTAATTTACTTATTGCTGACTTTTTAATTTTCTTTCTCTTTTAGCTTGCAAGGGATAATGAAGCTACGGTTTTCGCCACTGATTCTATTCTAAGTTTACTTATGTGTGCACCAAGATCTGTATATCCTTGGGATATTGTTATTAATCGTATAGGAAACAAGTTGTTCTTTGATAAACGAAGTAACGGTGTTTATGGTAAATAATTAAAATAATCTTTTTATTGTTTTAACTTTAATTTAATATTGAATAATTTTACTTTTTAATTAGATTATATAACCGTTAATGAAAATTCTGCCGATCCTCCGCTTGAAACCGGAGACAAGGATAATATTAATTCCCCTACCACGTTAGCATTGGAAGCAACCTTAATCAACCATTATTTTGCCTTACAAGTAGTAAATGAGGTGAGATATTGATTTTAATTTATTTTACTTTATTACGAGGATAGATATTCATTGATGCAACCATTTTTTAATTAGAATGAAAAACATGAATTTGAAAAACCGAATCCATTTATTAATTCTCCAGAGGATGCGGAAGAAATGGCACCATGCTCTTATCGATATCGTAAATTTGACCTCAGCATTAATGAAGACGAGGAGGTTTCAATTATTGTTCGTACACAACTTGATTCTGCTATAAAAGCTCCAACGGGTGGGGTTTCTTTCCTAACGATTAAAGCTTTGAATGAGTTTGATCCTAGAGCTCAAGGAGCTGGTGGGGCTTTGGATTGGCGACAAAAATTGGATACCCAAAGAGGAGCAGTTGTTACAACTGAAATGAAAAATAATAGTTGTAAATTAGCACGTTGGGCAGTTCAAAGCATTTTAGCCGGAGCTGATCAAATGAAATTAGGGTAAAAACTTAAAAATCTTTTTTTTTTAGGGGGGAAAAATTTTTTACCTCTAAATTATTATAATTATTATTATAAATAGATATGTTTCTCGTGCTTCTCCAAAGGACAATCAAAAACACGTTATATTGGGTACCCAAATGTATAAACCGCGTGACTTTACAGCCCAAATGAATTTGTCCGTTTCAAATGGATGGGGAATTGTTAGGACTATCGTTGATTTGTGTATGAAATTACCAGAGGGTAGATATGTGTTAATTAAAGATCCTAATAAAGTAAGTAAAGATTTCTCGTTAAAGAAGAATTCCCTCTGAAATTTCTAAATTATAACCTTTTTTTTTTTAATAGCCGTTAATTCGTTTATATGGTGTTCCTGCTAATACATTTGATGCGGAAGATGATTCAGCACTTGATGATGGTGATGAAGTAGAGGACGAAGAGGAAGAAGTTTTGGAAAAACCAACCACTAACAGCGAATTATAAATTATTTAAAATCAAAAAATCAAAAAAAAAAAAAAATTTATTATTCGTAATAAAATTTAATTGAAATGATTAAACAAATTTTTTTAAAAATCATATTTAATACATGGGACATTTTATTTATATATTACGTGATCCAAACATAATGAATAATTGATTTAAATCAGCCATGTGATATTTCGTGTAACAATATATGTTGGCTGATAAATACATCTAAAACTTTCATTTTTGATATACAGTATTTATTTATATATTTTTTGTAATGGATCAAGACGAAGCAGCTACTAGTGCCGAAATAATAAACTCGTCCGAAAAAGATGTTAGTTTGGATAAAGAAAAATTTTCTAAAGGGTTGATGGCCCTTTTAACACCCGTAATTGAAGAAATGGATTCACGAATTGTCGCGGTGAAAGCAAGTCAAACAGAATTAAATAAAGAAATCGAAAGACTATACGCAGGTTTGTGACTCGAAATTGTACCTATTTTAACCAACTTGACTTAAACATATATATCCTGTTTAAAGAACTTCAGTTATTTGTTGAAGCTACCGAATCACCACCAATTCAACCTTCTATCCAAAAATTAATCACAGCAAGAAAAAAGCTAACCACAACAAATCAAACTCTTAAAACGGTTCATGACCGTATTGAACGAATGCACGCACAACTTGGCAAAGAAGCCACATAAGAAGAATGAAATTTTTGCTAGAATAAATAATAAAAAAAAAAAAAAAAATTTTTTTTTTTTTATTTATTAATTGGGATAAAGGCTAAAGATTGCAACATTATTTTTCTACATTAGTAAACATTAATAATTTTTTTTTACTAAAATTATTAGATATATTAATTTCGATGTAATATTTAATCTAATATTTATTTAAAAAATATTATTACCACTATTTAATAGATTTCTCTTTTTTTTTTATACACAAGATATATTTTTTATAAAGATGACACATTTTATGTTTTTTTTTTGAAATTTTTAAAGTTATATTTAATTAAATTAAAAATAATAAAATAATTTAAAATAAATTTATGTACTTATTCAAAATTTTGATTTGTTGACGTACACGGACCAAAAAAATCCTGTTTAATTTATTACAATAATAAAAGGAAATATATATTTTTTTTTATTTTACATTTTGGAAATAAGGTTGTTTTGTTTCGTTTTTAATTTAAGGTGCTTAAAAAAAAAACCGTTATCAAAATCTATTTTAGGGTTAATATAATAATTTTTTTTATTTATAGAGATATCACCTACTATAAAAAGGGAAATTCGTTTGGTTAGAGGAGAAAATAAAAAAGAATGCGAAATTACCAATTCCAAAAGAGGTAATAGGTAGCCCAACTTGAATCAGAAATGCATGGCTAATTAATTATCTTCATGCAGCGTTGATCTAGTATAAATCAAGGATAGAAATTATCACAATATGATCAAACAAATTCCCCTTGTAACTTTTTTTTGATATTATCCAATTTAATTTATCACCTATCAATTTCAAAAAAAAATCTAATTTTGAAAAAATATTTCAGGATCAAATGAGATAAAAGGTTTGATTTGATTTCTTTTTTTATTTTTCCATGGGGAAGGATTTCGATAATCTCCGTAGGTTAAAGCAGAAGGACTACCAATTGGAAATCGAATCGAAATAAAGGATTTCATTTGACCCTAAGGGGTGGAAAAAAAAAGTTACCTGTAGGAAAATTTTTTTTTTTTAAATAAATAAAAAAAAAGCGGGAATTTGCATTCATTTGTTGATCCCTGAATACAAAGCGGACACGCGATGCTCAAAATGATGAAACAAAAAAAAAAAAAAACGTGGCAGATAAACGTGTAATTTCCGATAGACAGTAATTATCATACGCGTATCATAAGTAAAACAAACAAATAATTTGTTTTAAAAGGTTTGAAAAAAAAAAAATTTTGATCACATTTCAAGCGAAAACAAGTGATATCTCGTATCCTTTAAATCCAAGCAGAGGTTTGAAAGCTAAAAGGCAAAACGGGTTCAAGATCTGAGTAACAAACTAACCGAACAAGTTTAAAGCATCTAACCAAAGGAAGGTGGTCACGCCATAAACAAATCCCTAACCCGTTTTTTTAACATAGAAAACGCCACTTAGCATTTATTATGATTTGTTTAGAAGTGATTAGAAAGTAGGTGTTGAATTCAGAAACGATGTGCGAATTACCCAAACGATGACAAACGATTGTATTTATTTTTTTACAATTATTGAAGGTGGTTCGAATTTTGATTGTATCTCACTTTATTTATATGATACATTAAAAAAAAGAATGTTATTATTGATTGTTTGTACTTTATAAAATAAAAAATTATTAAGACATTGACGTCAATTAATTATGTACATAAAGTACATTATGCATACACAATACCCATTGCTTTCCAAACAAGTGAGTGAAATTGGATTTTTTGGAGCCTTTTTTTTGGTCCTTTTCCTTATTCTTAACACTTACCCAAAAAAATTTCAAAAAAAAAAAAAAAAAAAACCATTTAATTTTTTTTTACCTTTTTTCTTTCTTTTTTTTTTTTATCTCCGTTGCTTTTTGTCAAAAAAAAAAAAAAAAAAAAAAAAAAAAAAATATTCTATAAAATAAAATCAAAAGGGATCTCCATAACTTTTTATAAAACTGGGACCCGTATCGTTCACTCCTTTTTTTTTTTTTTTCTTTTTTTTTTTCTTTTTTTTTTTTTTGAAATTAACATAATAACTTTTTTTGAGAAAAAAAAAAAAAAAAAAAAAAAAAAATTTATCCCGCGCGGTACTAATAATAAAAAAAATTATAATACTCCAACTAAATGAAATATCGTCAACAACCCGATCTGTTTAATATAATAGATGGATCCTACTGTGACATTAATTAATAACAAATCGTCAACACCTTCTTCTCTAACTAATAATAATTCGATATCATCTCTACCACGAGTCTCGACTAACAAATCTTTTGAAAGAATAAAAGTCGGTTATGAGCCTTTTAAGTTAGAAGGGAATGACAAAGTTTTCTCACCCATAATAAGTAACAAGGACAATAGTAACACAAAGAAAGCTCAACAAAAGGACAATAATAACTCTGATAGCTTAATAGAAGATGACTTCTCACCCAATTTAGATTTTTTGTCACAACAATCGTCTAACCTACCTTCGTCACTCTTTCCTACACATACCGCTGGTCGCAAATTATCAAAGATCTCAGAAAATACCCAATTATCCACAATACAACAATCAAAATTGGAAAGCAAACCATTAAAACCCATAACGACTTTGAGCAGAAGCTCATCGTCTGATGGGTCCGTTTCTTCAAAAGTTTCAGAGAGAGATTTGTCGGTATCAGGAGAGGAAAAGGTTGGCCAGGAGGACAGTTGTTTGATAAAACAAACTCGTCGTGTATATAGTCATAATAGAGACCCTTTATCTAGAATATTGGAAGAGAAAGATATCAAAGCGCTAGTCACAGAACAACCTGAGACTATCTATAATAGTGAAGAAGGCGAGCAAATAACTTCGGATATTTCAACAATATCAACTAATCATTTTCCTAATGCAACACCTATTCTCTCTAGTAACCTCAATTCCTCCGAACACCTTTCAGCCTCAACAGACGTTTCATCCGTACTGAATCCGACTTCCCTATCTATATCCGTTCATTCAGAGAAATCGATACTTGGTGATATGTATAGCACCATAAAGCAAGGTCAATCTTCTGTAGCTATTACCTCATCACCTTCACCTACACCTATACCCGATAAATATCCAAATATATCGTCATTGAAGAATGTTAAGGAGGGAAGAGCAGGATTATTACATAGGGAAGATAAATATCCGGGTCCAGGTGCCTACTTTTCTCACAAAAGCGGTCCAATGGGTGATTTGAGCGGTGGCCTGTCTCCCAACAAAAGGGTAAATTTTAATCATTTCATTGGTTTTTAATTTGATAAACGAGATCTTTATTTCCGATAAAGAGGAAAAAAAAATTGTAGTTGATTATAAAAGTACTTTTTGTAATAATTGAATTTATTCTTTGCGGTTATTAGCCAAGATTTTACACGCAAAATAGTCAAAACAGAAATGAACGATGGCCTTCTCCTTCAATAGACTCTACACGAGAACGCATGTCAGGAAGAAAGGTAATGGAAGGTTGGCCTTCTTCTCCACGACGCATGCAATTAGCTAGTCCGCGCTTTAAATCTTTAACTGACTTGATGGAAGGACCTGAAGGTTCTGAACAACAGGTATCAATAAAATATTTACATTTTTTTTTTTTTTTTTTTTTTTTAAAAAAAAAAAGGTGCAAATAAAATTAATATTTACATTTATAGCAGGAATCATCAGCATGTCGAGTGAACCCTTTATCTTCACCTTCCCATAATACGTTTAAACCTTCTAATGATTCTGTTCATCCCACTACACCTGTAAATTCAATTTTAAATTTAAATCCGATATGTGAGGAGGATTCGGAAGAGGAGGATAAGGAGGAAAAGAAAGAGGAGGAAGAGGATGGGGTAGAGAAAAGACAAGAATCACGAGAATTAGAGCAGAAAGTAATTAAGGAGCAGGAGGAAATATTAGATTCAAAAAATGATGAAAAGGACAGATTCCCTAAACCGGGGAAATTTTTTGGTTCAAATCGAACAAAAAATTCTCGTTTCCTAGATTTGATGTCAAATGAAGAATCATCACCAATACCGCCGTCTGTCTTGAGTCCTCAATCATTCGGAAGACGTCAACCAATGTCCCTTGGTAGATTAACGTTTAATAATAATCCCAAGAAATTACTTAATCGTGAGAATAATAGTGGAACTAGTTTACCACAAGGAACGCAAACTATTTCTGAAGAGGACAACGATGGTGAAGAAGATGATGTAATAGAGGAACAACAAGCAAAAGCCAAAGGACGTGAAAAACGTATGTCCGGTTCATTTTCGTCAAGTTTGGATGGAATAAATGAGGAAGAAGAATTAGACGGACTAGAGGAACAAAAAGAGC